CACTCTAACCTTAACACCAATGCCGGTGAGCCCCTGTCCTTAACCTCACTCTAACCTTAACACCAATGCCGGTGAGCCCCTGTCCCTAACCCAACTCTAACCTTAACACCAATGCCAGTGAGCCCCTGTCCCTAACCCCACTCTAACCTTAACACCAATGCCGGTGAGCCCCTGTCCCTAACCCAACTCTAACCTTAACACCAATGCCAGTGAGCCCCTGTCCCTAACTCCACTCTAACCTTAACACCAATGCCGGTGAGCCCCTGTCCTTAACCTCACCCTAGCCTTAACACCTTAACCCCCTAACACTTGTGGTGGTTGAAACTGTAATGCTAGATTTCCCCTGGGGGCAGGCGGCGCGACATGCTGAAATACAGTCTGTCAGTATAAGGTGCTAGAGCTGCGGCGGGTGGCGGGATTAGCCAAGTTTTAAGTCGTATCAGAGGTGTAACAACAAAGATGGGATGATCCAGCAAAATGTCTGGTGTGTTGGGGGGTGTATAATAGGAGTTCCTGGGGTGAAGCACCACCTTAAAGTTGATTGCGAACATGGCAATTTAGTGGCTCATTTTGCCAGTTGTTTAATTGTAAATCAGTTGATGTAACACTTGGAAACGTTCTGTTCTGTTACATGAATTATGAGATTATTACTCATTAAATCCACCAGCAGCATCAGCCTGCGGGCGTATCTCTATTCATGGAGCATGTCGTCCGATTTCCTTTGACTGAAAATCGTGTGCAGGTTAAAAAAACACAATATCACTCTTTTAGGAAATTCCTGTCAAAAAAATCCCTGCAGCGGGAGTTTTGAAAAACGTCGGATTTTGACATGTCTCATTCCAGAACGGGCAGTGTCATGTCCCGGAGAGACAGCAAACGAGAGACAGATGAGCCACTTGAGGATAAGGACCCCTGCCAAGCGTGTGACTGGGGCATCTTGTGCACTGCCTGATCGTGTTTGGGGGGGGGGCGGGGGCATCATGGGCACCCCAAGCTCCCGTCTGAATCGGAATTGCCCTGTAGGCAGCTGGGTAAATGTCATGGAGCAGGGGCATTCCCCCAGACGCATTTCTGATCGAATCCCGCCTTCCCGAGGTTCAGCTGCCTGCAGCTTCGAGTGTTGTGTGGTTTTGTAGCAGCATTGCTGGCCAGCCATCACCTTTGAAAGGTTCTAACCCACAAAATGACACATATATTACAAAACAGCTGAACACAATAAACTCAATGTATAACGGCGGCAACAGCATGTAGTGCAGACAACAATGAGGCCTTTTAAGTAATTTAAGGAGGGTCCCAGCCTTTGTATTTACTGCTTTATTATAGGTGAGTAACCCCCCCCCCTCGCCCCCCATAGCAGGCAATCTCAGGCTGCACACAGCCTGCCAACAGTTATTTTTATCAATAAAGCTTACGGGACAAAGTTCAGTGTGTTGTGGTTAGACAGAAGCAGGCGGTCCTTATTGCAGCCAGCCAATGGGTGAGCAGGGAGCTGTGTATGCAGCCCCGCCATTCACTCATGGCTGCAGACGGAACGTGTCGTAACGAATGCTGTGTGTGCCTCATGGTCTTGGTCTCACCATGCCTATTTTCTCCCCAGCTCAAGACGCCGGGACACAGAGACACCAGGTAAGAAGTTCCCTCAGATATCTGGCATTCTCAGGATGCAGAGAGGAGAGGACAGTTAGGGAAATACTGAATGCTGCAGAGAGGAGGGGACAGTTAGGGAATTACTGCATGTCGAAGACAGGAGAGGACAGTTAGGGAATTACTGCATGTCGAAGACAGGAGAGGACAGTTAGGGAATTACTGCAT